ATATCCCAAATTATTATGAATAATTGAAGTGGTAAACGTAAACGAGTGTATTTTGATTCACAGACGTCCTACATAGATGGACGAAGGATTGTGAGGGCGTAATCGACAATAACAAATGCGTTGTTTTTGCTTGCATATTACAACGAGCAACAAGGCAAACTCGATAGTTTTTTACGATAGCATACTGAGTTCATCAAAGTAGTTGATAGGTTCAGAATTAAGAAACATCGAACAAGACATGAGACTAGTTTTTTTGTTGAGAACTTCCTCTAACTCACTATATTCTCTGTGCAAGGGAATGCTTATTTTTCCCAGCATCGAGATGTTTAGAAGAAAAATTCGCGTTTTAGCACTAACAAGTACTCAACTCTAACATGCCGCGCTCGTACTCGTTTGAACGGCCTCAAGTTCAGTCATACCTCAAATGCTCGGTACAAGTGCACTAATATCATTCCCACTCAGCTCACCAAAGTTACGTGAGTTTAACTAAGTTGAGGAATAATGCAGTGAAGTTTTGTTGATGCCTGTTCTGGTTAGTTAAGGATATTGTAAGAGTGAATCGATCCAGATATTCGGACGAAGTGCTGCTTACCACGGTGACGTTCTCGCAAGGGAGTTAGAGGGTGAGTGTGGGCTGCTGCTGTTGCTCGCTGAATGTTTTTCATCTCTGAATTAAGTTTTCGTTAGTTGATTATTTGTTTTTATCACTGACTGGTGAATATTATGAAGAGGATTATTTTCGTTGCTGAATACTTTCAGTTGTTTAATGGCGCAGTGAGGTTTTCTCGGATAAATCAGCCCCGTGCGATTGTGAATAATGAGGGAAGATATGAAAGTAGCGATTAGCGGACTGACAGTGCTGAGTAGCATTTCAGCGCAAACCGTCGCTATTTTCCCCGACTGGCACTTTTAGACACGATTTTTCGCTACGTTTTCGTCAACGGCGCTATCAGCAGATTAATTTTAGCAAAAGAAAAAAATTTCCGTTGGCGAATTAGCGATTACTTTTTTAACAGCGTGTCCATCAGTGGTAAATTCCCATTATGCGCNTTTTTTTTTGATATCAACAAATTGTGGATTTCTCGCATATAACACATCTTTATTTTGGATTGTTTCTTCGCAAAAAGAAATATTGTCTTAGTGATAAAAACGCTGATAACGAAGGAGTTGTTGACTGTGCAGTCACATGTTATTGAGTTGTCAATAAACATCAAATGTTGTCATTTGCATTGATTTTATTGATGTGCATGATTCGCATCAGAATTTCAAATTTGATTGTTTTTGCTCTGAAAGAACACACTGACTGATAGAACATTCGTTGGAAGGACTAACAGAAATGTGTAATGAGAATAGAATGCATTCTGAAATGTAAACATAGCAAAGCAAGATTGTGCAAAGGAAACAATGTGAAATCATTCACAGAAGGGCGACTTTTCCACGCCGATAACGTTTTTTGATTACAGTTTCATGCAGTGACGATTCTCGAATTCCATTCAAAACTGATTCACTCGCAAATAGCACAAAGCTTCTTCTACTGCAGCAAAATAAATTGATATTTTAGAAATTTGAAAGATCCTCCAAAAAATTTACAAAAAAAACGAACAGAAAGAAACATAATGTGTTGAGAAATTATCATTTATATCTACTGATAGGAATTTTGCCCTCGTACCTTGCTGTGATGTTATTAAGAGAGCGTTGTGGAATTGAGTGTTCGTTGGTCAGAAATTCGGTATTTATTTGCCGCTGATTTATGGTATTTGCTT